AAAATGTTATGTATTCCTGTGATGGCAAAGCTGAATTTTTAGCAGCTTTTTCCTTTAGAAGTCATTCTAATTTGCTGATTTGGTGCTCAAGAAACATTTCTTCTTATATCAATGTTGAAAAAAAATCTTAATTATTCCAAACTTTTGACTGGTAGTATATAATAAAAGTTCAATTTAACCGGGGTTCTTATAGTCTTGGGGAAACTTGGATATATGAGGATATTTAATAAAATATAAAGAAAATATAAAGATTTTTTTATAGACCTGGAAAATTAATAATAACAATAAAAACAATCCTAAAACATTTTTATATGTTATGCCAAGCTCTAAAATATTTGATTGGGCCAAATTGGGAGTAAACTAAAATTTGAAATACTTAATTAGTACGAGTGTAGTATCGAAAGGGAACTTATAAGAAAGCATGCATACGCACATACAGCAATCTGAAGATGAAGTCTCCATGAAAATGTGGTCCAGAAATACATCTTGCCAAAATGCCTGGATAAGATTTATATATATATTGCATATCAAATTTCCATTCATATTATTTGTTTGTTTATTTGTTTATTTGGATCCCCATTAGCCACTACCAAGCTAGTGGCTATTCTTCCATTTGGATTATTTAGTTTTAATATAAACTAATAAACTCCTATTTGCAGCTAAATCATGAAAGATGGGAAAAGTCATTAAATAAATAAATCCAATACATTCAGTGTATTAATTGGTTAAAATGAGTGAGATCCCTAAAGAACATTCAAAACTTTTGGCAATCTGAATCTTATTTTAATAATATTTATTGTTGTCATTTTAATCTCTGGACACTGACGTTTTCTGTAAACTGAACCTTATGTGCGACTGAGAGGAGTGTCCCAAATCAGGGTAGTCAGCTCACTAGGGTTTGGAACAGCCTTAAATTCAGAGCACAGTTTACTTATCCAGAGCATTTCATATGTGCTGACACATGTATTATTAATACACGAGCAAAGACTGCTTCACTGTAAGTGAATACTGTAGCTTTACATTTGTATTTGCTTGTTTGACAAAGGCTTTTCTCAGCTCAAGACTGAAATGGCTTGATTTCACTGAGTTGGGCAAGTTTTGAATATAGAATATTTTGTCTAAATTATGCTTGTATATGTTTCTTACAGAACTGTTGAATCCAATGTGTGATTTTTATTATTCAAAGGCATGTTTTACATTTCTTAAGTTAAAAACTTAAGATTTCTTTGTAGTTTAAGCTTGAAAATACTGTTATTACTGTTAAGATATGAATGTTGATATGCTCTGTTGTCAGTTTTGGCTATTGTAATTTATTTGTAAAAACTTAACTAAACATACTTTGTGAAAATGATTCTGTTTTCATATTTAATAAAGACTGTGTTCTATAATGTCTTGATATCATAAAAAATCTTGCAAATATTGATCTCCTATGTCATAAACCAAATTCAATATTCAAGCATGCGGGCAGAAACAAGATTTATGATTAAAGCAAAAATGCTGTGTGACAACAAAATTGCAGTTAAA